TGCATGATGTATTCAACAATGCCTAGATGACTGACTCGATACACACGTAAACTCCTGATATTCCTATGTGGTTGTGTAGACAATATTTCAAGAGTGGTTGGTATTCTGCTCCCCACATCCGAATAAAATGTCTTTGTGTTTACGTTTAGAGATAACAAGCTAGGGCAAAGCTGGATTGTTTCATCATAGTCTATAAGTGACCAAAAGGTTTCCATCTTGTCGATAGTCAAGTGTGTTAAGTTGCTAAGCTCTGGTAATCGCTGACAGAGTTCTTTCATTATTGGAGTAGAAGGATGCTCTGGTGGTAGATAGATGTGAGTGAGCGAATGGCGAAAAAGCGAAATAAGTGTGTTGTAACAATCAAAGTAATTATGGTGTTCAGTGAATTCAAAAGGGTTAATAAGTTCCTTTATATGAGGCCAGTGTTTTGATGCGGCAGTGATAATAGTACGCCAAGAATCATAGTTTTTGCTGGTGCCCTTAACGTGTTCTACGTTTGGACAGGCTTCAACAAGTTCATTGATGTAAGGTTCTGCTGTTTCATATTTTTCGTATCTTATGTCAAGATATATGGTTCGAGTAAGGTGCCCTGCGCTACTGTTTTTCATACAGTGTAAAAACCTTTCCATGGCCTTATCGTTGCATAAATATACTGTGCTATACAGCCATGTTTTTGCAACTTGGTTCCATCCCTTACAGGCAAGCTGGTATTGCACTATCCAACTTTTCTTGTATTCGGCACTCTTCTGAACATATACAAAAATCTTCTGTAAAATTTCACTAGGTATCTCATTGAAGCCTGGCATTTTGAGATAAAGTATACACAAGAACGACCAACTGTCAAGTAAGGAATAACTCAAAAGAAAAGTACAGGATATGCTGCACACAATATATCTTGTAGTGTGGCTGTGGTATTTGTCTGAAAAAGGAAAGACACAAGCTGTTGGTTTACTTTTTCGTTTAAATAGTTCATAAAGAAAAGCTAGAGCCTTCGTTCATCAAAGCCATTCAACATGAATTAGATCCATTCCTCACAGGACGTAAACCTGTTCTAGCATCGTGGAGGAAAAGAAAAGCAACGGAATAGACTCTTCATCCAATAGGATCAGTAATCCTAGACCAACGTAGCCTCGCCAAATATAGAACGCAATTGCTGTACTGCCTGTGGTGTGGCCATATTCTGCATCTATAATGGCCGTTGAGGTCAGCTTACCAGCCTCACATGGAGAGTCTATCACATAATGAATAGCAGAGACGCAGCCAGGTCTCTTGGAGGTACTCTATTCGACGCTAGGAGGGGTATTGTTCACGATAAGCTTAATGAAAACACCCCACAAAAACCCTACGATAGTACTGAACAGTAGCTCACACGTTAACGAGAGACCTGTTTAACACAAGCGTTGAGATTAGGACAGGGATCATTATCAAATGATCTTGCGTGAATAGAGTGCCAGCTATCCAAAACATGAAGGGTAGAGGGAAAAAAAAGAGTCTCCCACCTTTTTTTTTTTAATAAGGGAGCACTGATGAGCCAACAGTCCGGGTTTTATTTAAAGTCAACTTGACCAATACAATTTATAAAGGAAGTGAGACTGATGATAAAATGAAGATGCAAATGATGAGTAGTGTTTAGTGAGAATTAAAACTCCTTAATCAAAACTGTAGCTGTTTCCATGGTGTAAGCGGAATACCATTTGTTCAAGAGAAGCAAGCATCGTTTGACAAGTGAAATGTGTATCATAAAATACCTTTTGCCAGTGTGACTACCATATAACATAAAGAGTGCAGCCGAACAGCGATAAAAGCGAGATGCTTGAGACAATTGGGCTGAGAGTATCGGGAGTGGTGCTTATATGAGATACTGCAATGGTTAGCATTGACTGTTCAATTTGAGTAAGCGAGAAGGATAACCCAAGAAAGAACTTATAGAGAGCCATTGTCCATAGCGCGGCTTTGTGAGAACAACTGAAGAAAAAATGAGACGTAGTTTCATCAGCGGAACCACAGAATGAACACGACGCGGAAGGATGTTGACTCGGAATAAGGGCATGTAGGCGTTGTTTATAAGAGATTGTTCGATGTAGCAAACGATACCACGTATTTAGCGCTGCTGGGAGGAGCGGTAGTCACCAAAAAGATGTCCACGACGCAGAGACACGGCAGGTTCGTATTGTTTCCGTTCCAAGCTTCGTTGTAATAGTAAATGCTTATGGTATGACTGATAACGGGCAAGAGGACCAAAATCGTTCACTCCAGAAGTACTAGGCCGACAAAGAGGTGTCAAATCTGTAGTGGCTGCATCCAGGCCAGATGTAGAGGTGCTCTCGGGGATACATAGAGGCAGGAAAACAGGAGACAGTAGAGCTTGCCCTTGGAGCAGTAAAGCAATAGCTTTACGACAAAGCCGTCGAAATCGAAGGTACTCGTTAGCTGTTCGCAGACGAAGGTGGTGATCTGAGGATCATAAACGATAATGTCACTGATCAGAAGCTTGCGTAACCCTGGATTAGCAGGAGACAGCGTTTGCAGAATATTGGGCGTATAGTATTGGGAGGGCTTTCAGTGGGACTTATTAAGGCACAATGTACCGACATAGCCAAGAATGTCTTGGTACTCAGATGCTCCGAGACAGACAATGGTAATAGTTCATCAAAAGCTTGGAAAAGCAGTTTGAATGGGTTATTCACGAGATGGAGAAGGCGAGATCAAAGAGAAGGGAACAGCACCGGCCAGAGGTGGCTGCTTGGATAGCCACTGATGCCAGCAGGGATACGCTCAAGATAAGGGAGGCAACGTAGAGACTGCGTGGTATGAAACCTGTTGGCAAGAAGCGAAAGCAACCAACGCCACTGTAACGTCATTTGTTGGACGTGAGGATCCAAGGCCCCTACACCATCATGTTTCCTTGGGAGAGACAGAGTCGCAAAGCTGATTTTTGGAAATCGATAACCATTGATAAAAGCACTGGTGCCGTATTTACCCTATAAATACTTAATCTTGTCGTATGAGATTACTATAAATCTATACTCTAAGAATGAATAATACAAAGATACTGACAACAATACATGTTATTAACATATAATGCGACATGCCCAACTATTATTGGTCATAATTAAGTCGGTTCCTTAATAATTTTGTCTTCATATAAAATGATGCTGTAATAATGAGCTCTCTCTCGTCTTAACATACAATAAAGAGGTTATATAGAGACTCATCGACACATATTTCCCTTATTACTTCTTTATATGTTCGAGACATATCACAACAGAGATGACACATCTGTTGAGAAGGACGAGAAAGGGGGAAGAGAAAGCAAGCTTTCAAAGAGCATGCGATTCTATGCATGCTGAGGAGGTGCATATGGATTAACTAAGGCAAAAGGTTCAAACATGCGGCGGGTGTGAGAGATCTCGCAAATGACCAACCGCTGGTCAACAGTGACTGGTATAGGTGTAACAGTAATGGAGAGATTGAGACACATTACGCCACAGTGCTTAGTCCAAAAGGTGCTTTTAGAGCTGAAGAGTATGCTAAGAGTTGACTGGGTACTTTCATCCTCAGTGTTGATATCCTGTAACGAAAGGATATCTAACGATTGGAGACGAAGATGGCGAATGAAGGATTGACGTTTTTCATGAAGAGATAGCTTAGCAAGGCTTCGGCAGTTGAGAGAGCCAATATTTAGAGTAGTAAGTTTGTTGTGATTATTATTATTTGTTGAGTGAGAGGCGGGCAGGTTACCAAAGCTGGAATTATTATTGTTATTCATAAGATTATTCATAATTAGCAAAGGACTGGAATGTGTAATTTAAAATGGAAGACTTACTTAATGAGATGAAGAAGAACTGTCCGTGTCAGTAGCATTCTCCGCCCCGTGGCCCAAATGTGTAGAAGCAGCGGCCGATGTGCCTAACGTGGAATGTTTGGAATCATGTAACTTCTCTCCACTTTAATCCTTATTAAGACGAGAAGATTTGCGAGTAGGGTTAATGGATGTCTTATTTTTAGCGATTTTAACCGCAGATTTCTTGATAGAAGACGTCGAAGAAACCATAGATTCATTGTCAGAATCACCCATATCGACATCACTCAAGATTTCTATTGACGTTGTGTAGTCTAATATTGGCTGAGTAGCAACATTTTCTTGTACAGGAGTAGGGGCGAAGACAAGGTCTACTGAGGAGTCTGCACTAGGCATCGGGACTGCTGTTTGATGCTTGAGAACTGGTGCAGAGGTTACTTCCTCAGAGGTCATTGGAACTTCATGTAGTACTGGTTCGGGAGAAGTTGGTGGAGTAGTGGACGATAGTGTTTCAGCAGGGCGAGAAAGAACAGTGACAGGTGCTTCGTAACTACTGTCGACAGGAATAGGCCGACGGCGTTTGGAGGCTGTCTGATTAGGGTTTGTAACCTTAGGGCAGTTGCGAGCGATGTGACTACGGCAATGGCATACGAAGCAGGTACGCGCTTCAGTCGAAAGTGAAGGACAGTCCTTCCTAATATGGCTCATAGCCTTACAGTAAATGCAATGTTTGCCCATTTTGAACCACGTACCCAAGCATGAATGGTCACCATCAAGAGGTATCTTATATGTCAAAGGATCAAACTTAATTTCAGAGCTAGGCGGTCTTTCCAGGTAAATGCACCCATTACCGGAAAACCAGCGCTGGGCCTAGTCATCAAGATAAATAACTAACTGTCGAACTATACCGTACTGAGCGAAGTTATTCAATAGCTTATCTCTTAACTGCTCAATATGCATGATAGGAATCTTAGTTAAATTTACTCTCAGAAGTACACGGTCTGGATGTACAGCAGGTGAGGCAGTAAAAACTTGATTTTCGATAACTAGGGGGGTCACTACAGCTTCTTTGCAGTGTTCAGCAGAAATAAGGGTGATTTCGACGACCATTCCTTGGACGTCTTCATGGGTGGTAAAGCCCAATCCCACACCGAAAGGAAACTTTTAGCTGAGAACGATGTTGAAAGGAACTTTGAGGTTCTTGAGACGATGGGAAATGCGATAAAACACAGAGTGATCAGTGGTACCCGTTCGATGAATTGAATAAGTCAACTGGGTTGTCTCATTGGTGGAACCAAAGGATCGGTACAAAGAGATTTCCTTCCAAACTGTAGAGATTCCTTTGGGAGATGCATTGGTTGCTAATGGAAGGGAAGCGATCGCAGCATAGGTACGAGTTACAGTTGGTTGTAGAGAGTTGACAATATCGGTGTCTGTGTGAGGAGTGCTGAAGAGGGCACTTGGGTTAATATTGGGTGATATAGGTGCGATGTCTGGTGGTATTGACCCAAAAGTATCGGGAGTGGAAGAACCATGCAATAAAATATTCTCAAAAGTTCGACTGCTATTTTCATAACACTTTTCAAAAGCGGAGAAAGAGTCACACCCAATGTCAAGGGTAGGACAAAGCTCTAGAGTCTCTTTTGTTCTTTTTTCTCTAAAAAAAACACTACAAAAATGGCAGCCATGAACGATAATGTATATGCGCGAGTTCGCGATAAAATGAGAGAACAAAACTTTTCAGAACAAGAAATAGAAGCACTTGATAATGCTCGTGGACTACTCAAAACTTATGGTAAATGTCATTTGAACTACGCGCGCTCAGTATAAACATTGACATACACACAATAGCGAGAATCGGAGGCTTCATGGGAGCAACTGCAGCATTTTTAATAGGTAAGCCTATGGACGAGTGCTTTTTACTTTAACTCACCCATTCAATAGGCAAAAGCAAAAAGTTCAAACCTTTCCCGCTCCTTATGGTTGCCGGTGGAGGATTCTTTCTGGGATCACAAACAGGATTTCTTACGGGTGTCCTCTCGGGTATTAATTCGATCAAGAGCTTACCCGACCCGCAGCGTCTTATAAATATCATGAAAGAAGTGCAGTAAGTTGAACACATTTTTTAAGGTAACGCAAATTATGCTAAACCGAATAAAAGGATGGAAGCCGCAAGAGGCAATATACAGTCTTTACCTGTTCCACGTCAACCTGTAGTTCAAGAAGCACAAAATCCTATGGATAGCTTTTCGCCAGATCTACCAGATTACCAACAAAATGAAAAAGAAGGTTTGTTTTATAAGGAAAAAAGAGAGAGATGTACTTAGTATTGTAGCATGGGAAAGTACCATACCAAAGTCATTTCATCATGACACAGGAGATACCGTCATGATGGATCCGAGTATGAAACCAGCACAAGAACAACCTCAACAGAAGAGCTCTTGGGATAAAATTCGTGAACAAAATATACCAAATAGCACATGGGCAAAGATTCGTATGGAAGCTCAAAAGAATTCAACATCTACAGATGATATAGCCAAGGCAAGAGCAGAAAGAGTAAAGAGGCTCCGTGAGAGCTCAGAATTCGGTCAAGAAGAATTACCGCGTACGAGGGAAGATTACTTTGAACAAAAACGAGCTACACGAAAGAATCAGTTTGGAGATGTATTAGAATAATAATAATAAAAAAAAAAAGAGAAAAAAAAAAGAAAAGAAAAAGGTTAGAGGTGCATTATAAAATCATTCCGCCCCTTGATGTAATCCTTCATTTAATTAACAAACGAGCCGACCATATAACATACCTTTTAAAAAATATGTGTAATAAGAAAGAAACCTATTCCTTATAAATTAATCTAATGTCTATCGCCCTTCTTTCTCTCCCCTTGTACATAATTCAATGTATCCTAAACGAATTTCTCAGAAGCTATCCTTCATTGCATTTGCATGTTTACAGTTGGTAGCGGGTTTACCTACAAATACTGACCCAAGAGCGGAAATGGTCAAAAATGCATTCAAGCACGCCTGGAAGGGATATACCGATTTTGCATATGGACACGATGAGCTTCAGACAGTGTCCAATACGACAAGCGACTCAAGAAACGGATGGGGAGGTAAAGACTTGGTTGTGTAGAAAGGGTAGAGATGATTTACATTCTTTTGTCTCTCTTTCTTAGCTTCCATATTTGATGGATTAGATACCATGATCATCATGGGCCTAGAAGAAGAGTATAATCGTGCATTAGAGCATATAAAAAAAGTAGATTGGACCTTAAGCGACTCTCCCTCAAAGACGTTTGAGACCAACATTCGATACTTGGGTGGCCTCTTGGCAGCGTATGATCTGAAGCAGGAACCTGTTTTCTTGGAAAAGGCTGTGGAAATAGCAGACAAAGTTATCATGCCTTCCTTTGATACGCCTAATCGCATGCCTGCTGCTTTTGTGGATGTTACGAGGTAAGAAAAACAAAAGACATTGTATGACGCATTAACAACGTTATTAGCGGAGCACCTGTAGATGGCAACATGATTACCTTGGCAGAGTTTGGATCATTACAACTAGAGCTTGTTCGATTAACTCAACTGACTGGTAATGAGAAGTATCAGATAACAGGTAATCATGTTTTGGAAAGGATTTCTCAAGTGCCTTCCAAGATCCCTGGATTGTATCCTATGATTTGGGATTTAGACAGTTTTACTCCCAGAAGCTGTAAGTTGCAACATTGAGAAAAACAAAATCCATACTTAATGTTTTTTTAAGCATACATCACTATATCTGGAGGCTCTGATAGTTACTATGAGTATCTTTTAAAGACTCATATTTTAATGGAAGGCAAAGAGACGCTTCAATTGGATATGTGGAGTACTGCAGTAGAGAGCATGCACAAGTACCTTCGTTCTGAGACACACTATGGACAAGTCTACCTTGCTGAAATTGAACAAAATTACAAACTGATGCAATCAGGAGAATTGGTAGATAAACCTTGATGAATAACAACGAAATGAATAACCCCCTCTTTCTTGTAGGTCTGCTTTATGCCCGGTAATTTGTTGTTAGGAGCAGCGTACTTGAATAATGGTCCAATAACGACATTTGCTAATGAACTGATGAACTCTTGCTATCAAACATGGACAAACACGCCTACGGGGCTTGCACCTGAAACATGGAGTTGGATTGACAAGACTCAAAATATGGCTGTATTCCCTGATTTTATGAGAAAGTCCATGATTACTACTGGATTCATTGCACAGGATACTGGATATGATTTACGCCCAGGTACAGCAGATAGAATTTGAAAAAGGTTTAAGTAACATGTAGCTATTCATTTTAGAGACTATCGAAAGTTTGTTCTATTTCTATCGTATTACTGGTGACAAGACTTATCAGGTTAGATTTACTTGTATTTACTTATCATTCATTAAATATATGTTACTACATAGGATAAAGCATGGAAAATATTCCAAGCTATTGAAAAGTACTGCAAGACCCCATCTGGCTACACTCGTATTGCAGATGTTACAAAGTTAAATAATGTTGGTTGGTTAGATTTTGAAGAAAGGTAGGTTCATGTTCTAGGAAAAACTGCCTTTTTATAATTTTTATCATCTAGTTACTTCTTTGCGGAAACTTTAAAGTATCTATACTTGATATTTAGTGACCCAAGTTTGGTTTCTTTAGATGAATACGTCTTTAATACCGAAGCACATCCATTCAAACTGAAAACGCCCATTCAGGTTCAGGCCAAATCTTTCAACTAATGTAACATGTATAGAAATAGAAAGAAAGAGATATAAAAAAAACAGTGCCTAGCTGATGAAAAAAAGGACGCCCGTTTCCCCAATCAATAAATACAACATTTACATTTAATCGATCTAACGTTTATTTTCTTTTGGGGTATAAGCAACGATGGATTACAGAATATCTTCTTTTTACTTTCTTTTAAACTTTAAAAGAGATGGCAAGATCATCTCCACAGGACCAGCTTTCTTTAAGAATTCATGCTATTCAAGAATATGAATTCAAAAGTGAAGTCAGAATCATTCAATCTTTTACCTGTAACAACTCAGCAGCAGTAGCTCTTGATTTTACATCCACACACAAACATACAGCCAAGTAGTTCCTCAGTTCAGCAGACAATCTTTCTGGGCTCTTTAAGGTAGGTGTTCCGTTCGTAGCGATAAGGTAGAGTGCCTTGAGCGGCTCTTCGTCCAAGTAAGGTGGTTCATTTTCGATCATTTCAATAGCCATGATACCCAAGGACCAAATATCAACTTTGGCACCGTATTCCTTTTGCTTGACTACTTCAGGTGCCATCCAATAAGGTGTACCCACCATCGTCGCTCTCTTATTCTTTTGATCTGTCAGTTTGGCACAATATCCGAAGTCACTTATCTTGACTTGGCCTTGAAAGTTTAATAGAACATTGTCCGACTTAATATCACGATGAATGATTTTCTGTGAGTGCAGATGTTCGAGTCCCTTTGCAGTCTGATCCAAAGAAAAAATGAGAACAATAGTAAAGCTTGGCTGCCTTTGAACATACCTCATAACACACAGTAGCTATTTGTTGCTCAGTCATGGTATTATTTTCAATCACATCTGTCAAGGGGCCGCCTTCCATATACTCCATAACAACCCACAAGTCATTTTGAACCAAATAAGCGTTAAGAAAGTTGACAATGTTCTTGTGATGTGATTCTTTCATAATCATGATCTCGTTGACTATCAAGTCTAATCTGGATTGCTTGGACAAATCCATTCGCTTAATGGCTACCTTGGTATCTGTGCTCATATGGTAAGCTAAATAGACAGAGCCCGAGGCACTACAAGATATATATAAGCCATCATATCATCATAGGCATAATTATCGTTACCCTTGTCCTATTCGCTTCGATCTAATGTAGAGTGAATTTGGATCACCTGCGTTTACGACAGACCCTGCAAGATATCAAGATGAGTATTTATCTCGGAACAACCCAAGTTACACAATCTTACTTAGTTTCTCCAAGATTTGGGTATCTGACATCGTACTAATTCTTTGCTCCTTCTTTTTCTGAACAGGCTTGTCAACCAAGGTAAGAGAAGATCGATTTGAGCGTACGGGGGTTGATGCTTGATGTTGAGGGGTGGGTGGCTTTAGAGGCTGACCCAAGCAGCGCATCAAGTTTCGATCGCGATCTAAAGCAGCAGCGACCTCCTTTAACTTTTCCTTTTCTCTTTCAAAACGTAAATTTCTTTCGGCTGATATCTTGGGCATACGAGATGTATTATTATTATGCTTTCTGGGTAATGAACCTGAGGCATCTAATAGTTTTGGTTTGTTTGTCTATATGCACATGGTTAGTAATGTGATGCGGAGAACAAGTGTTTGTTTATTTTTTACTCCGTCAGGTTTGTTTGTCTATAGTATAACCATTAATATGGTCCAAGCACAGGTTTGTTTATTGTTACCTCAACTACGATCCCATTGCTGAATGGATCCGGGCTAACCTTTTTTGACGGATTGGGTTTTGGTGGAGGTTGGCGTATGTAACCAGGCGCAGGAGTTGATTTACTCGAAATTAGGTTATCATTTTTCCATTCCGACTTATTGTCTAATCTCGTTTGCTCTGTATAGAATTCGAGTGCTTCCAATACGGCTTGAGGATTCTTTGCGGCATCTTCTGGTGTAATTTTTGAACCCTTTAATAACGCATTCCATTGATCAGGTAATCCCTTAAAAATGGGAAAAAAAGGGGGGATGTATTAGAATGAAATAAAAGTGTATATAGGAGAGATATAATAATGATTATTTACTGTAAAGTCACCCGTGATAGGATCAAAGCCGACGTGTACTTTGTGTACAAAGTTAGTTGGGCCTGATGCGCCCAAGAGAGAGCGCTAGAATATAGAGTTTTAGTCTATTTATTTGTTTATATGAAGTATTTACATTATAGATCTCATCCATCCAAGAATACAATTCTTCGTCATTTTTACATGCGATATAATAAGATTTTGATTTTGTACCCAGTTCAAAACAATAAGGTTTTAATTCCAATCTTGTCACTGCTGTTATTTCTTTCAGGAATACAAGTGCAACACATTGGCCTGTTTGCTAATGTAAAGGAGTTAATTAGGAAAAAGAACAGACTGATGGGCTGTCATACTTCATTTCTATGAAAAGTAATTGTCTGTTCTCGTAAGACTACATATCTCTTGGACCATATCCAAGCACGTAATCCATCTTCTTTTACTTGTAGGTAACCATCCTTTTTAATCTCAGTCATTTTAAGATGTATATAAATTTATATATAAATAAAAAAGAAAGAGAGAAAGAGAGAAAAAAGAGAGAGAGAGAAAAAGAACGAAATTTATTATGTAGCTTTTATTATATATAAAAAAGGGGGATCAAGATACGCTCAAGTCATCATAAAGAATACAAAGAAACTTATTCAACTTGTGTAAAAGAGAAGGGGAACAGTTCAATAGTCCACACATTTATATCATTCAGGGGCAATTAAATATATATAATTTCCCTTTTATTCGGGATGACTTCCGAGTCATAACCCATGTTTATCTCGTGTACAAAAAGAAAAAGAAAAAAAGAGAGAGAGAAAGAAAAAAGTTGTAAAATACCCCAGCCATGTAATCGTAAATAATAATGCAGGTTTAGATTAAACATACACTCAATCATCCCCACCTGATAACCTCACAAACACAAAAAAAAAAAAGAAAAGGAGAAAAGGAGAGGTTGTACTATGCATAATATATGTATGCAAGGTATTATTTTTTGGCGGTCATTGCCACTTTTTCTAAAAGCATCATGTTGGTAGTCTTTATGTATGTTTTATAAAAGGCTTAATTTTAAATAAAATGTGTTGTGCCAGCAGATTTGTTTACACTCACCCCCCCGCCTTCTTGTTCTCTCTCTCTTTCTCTCATCTAGTTGCATCACTGTCACTCTCTCTATGACACACACTCTCTCTCCACACTTTTCTCTCTCTCTTTCTCTTTCAACTCCTATTTAACCCTTCACTCCCCCCTTAAATATTATATGTATATCCTTTTTTTGATAGCTGCAGATTATTTTCACCAATGATGTCTCCTCGTTTATATATAAAATTACCATGTATATATTTGTTGTTTTTTTATATTTAACCTTTTTCCTTTTCCTTTTCCCTTCTCTCTCTTTCTTTTTCTTCTTCTTCTTTCTTCTTTTGAAAGTTATTTAAACAACAAAGACTTTCAATATTAAAAAAAAAAAGAGAAAAAAAAAAATAAAGTCATAGAAAATGCTAAATTCAAAGCCCTATACGAAAAAGAAACCGAGTGACAAGAACAATAGTAACCCACTTGGTAGCGCGTCCTATGGTTTACCAGCACCAACAGAGGAAAACATCATGATTCGTCAAACACAGATTGATGAAATGAAGTTATTCTTTGCAACTGCACCTCATCAATGGGAAACCAACAAATTCATCAAACGATTCCATTTACCAAACGGTGAATCTATTAGCTGTGTTCTGTGGGATAATGTATTCTTCATTTCAGGCACAGATATCGTACGTTCGTTGACTTTTCGCTTTCATGCCTTTGGAAGACCAGTGATCAATCCAAAAAAGTTCGAAGAAGGCATCTTTTCCGATTTACGCAATCTAAAGCCTGGTCACGATGCAAGATTAGAAGATCCCAAGTCAGAACTATTGGATATTCTCTACAAGAACAACTGTATCCGTACTCAAAAGAAACAAAAGGTATTCTACTGGTTCTCTGTACCTCATGATCGTCTCTTCTTGGATGCTCTCGAGCGTGATCTAAAGCGTGAAAAGATGGGTTTGGAGAGCACGACTCGTGCGATCGCTGAACCCGCTGCTTCCCTTTCGTTGGATTCAACCCAAGAATTATTTGATGAATTAAGGAAAAGCATGTCACTTGTCAAAACTCCTTTGACCAACAGTTTATCCATGAATCAAGGTAACACAACAATTTCTCCATATAAGTATATGCGTTCGCTAAACTTTAAAACTCCTTAATCTCAGTTACGCCAAAGAATGATGATCCGTGGCCCACAAGACTCACTGTCAAAAGATCTCGTGTAAACTCAGTACCTGCCAGTCTTGGCCAACAGCAAAAGCATCAACTTGCAGCTCATAGGGAATATCGCTTAAAATCAACCGAAAAAGATTATTTGGAACCCATCTCATCAGCTGTTAATCAATTGGATATTAACCGGTCATCCAGATCTCTTGATTTAAAAAAGCAAAAGGCAATCTTTGGTAGCCTTAGCTTATTTGATGGATCGCCCGCCTACAAACAGCGTAGACGACGCACCGTCTCCTCTACTCAGTCTTCACCCTCTTTGCACTCAGCAGGTGGCCCTGACCGTGTTCGTCGACATGACAAGTGTCATCATCCTACCCCTGCACCCTCATCCATTAATTTCTCTCGTGTCCCTTCTTTTGGTAACCCGCCTCCTCGTAAATCGACCAACAGTGGTCAGAGTAGACTAGCTATGGCTGCCTATAAGGCTGGTTTGACTCAAACGTTGCCTTCAGCTACATTGCATGAATATCATCATCAGCAGCAGCATCAAATGGACTGGAGAAGCAGCAGTAGCACGAGTAGTACAGCCACGACAGCTACTGCAAGCGTTGATTTTTATCCAAGCCCCTGCCAACAGCACTTGGAGCCTGTACACATGTTCACTTGCCACCTTTGTGGTAAGTGTTTTGCTCAATCTGAAAATCTCGAAGAACATCATCGCTTGGAGCATTCAACCGATATGAACACTTCTATTACGGCAATGATTGATGATAAAGACGACGATGACGATGACTCGCATATAAAGGATAGCAGTCATTACTCTTCTTTTATCATTCATCAGGACTATCCTCACACCAGTAACAGTACGACGAGCACTCAAGATTCCTTCTTTCACTCTCCTCCGGGCAAGAGTAACCTGACTGGTGCTACAACCACTACGACCACTACCATGACAACCACTACTACGACGATGACTACTACAACAAGGAGAGCCATAAAAACCGGTCATGTTCATGACACTGGAACCTCTCCTGAACCAGTTACGTCTTGGCCGACCTTGACACTGGATGAGAAACCATTTATCGACATTGATTTTCAAATGCAGGATGTTACGAATAGGGATGACTGCTTATTCTCAGTTTACAACAACAACAACAATCATAAACATGACTGCATGTATAATCCAATTATATCATCTACATCATCCATCAATTCATTAACTCACGAAGAAAATGATGCATCCTCATCTTTAGCTTCCTCGCCTACAGATCCATTTCATTCGATGACATTATTTTCACCCTTCAAGCCTATATTCCAAGAGCAAGAAGAACAGCAACAACAACAATTTAGCTTTGACGATTACTATTACTATGCACCTTACACCATGGATGCATACTATCATCACCATCTTTACACTCCTTTAAATGATATGAACTTTGTTTTTAGTGCTTAACTTTCCTTCCCTTTTTTATATTTATTAGTTTTTTATATGCATTTCTCTTTTTTTTTTATTATTATTATTAGCATTTCTTTATTATACATATGCCCTCTTTCATCATTCTATATGCTATAAGGCCGCCTTATTCCCCCCCTCCATGTATGCTTTTTTTTATTATTATTCATTGACATTATTGTTTTTATTTTATTGGCAGTATACAAACATATCTATGACTTATGATTAATATTCGTATGACGCATAAAGATAAAGCATTTTTTTAACTCATTCGTTTCACCCTTATTTTTATGTTGTTTTTGTCTTTTTATCCATTGATTACACATTTTGAATATAGACCAACATATACTTATTAATTTATTGCTGTAAAGGAAAGCGACTGAAGAAGAACAGTAAGAATGCAAAAAAAAAAGAAAAACATAATGAATTAGAAAAGGGATACAAATAAGCAATATACATAATGATAATAATAATAATAACAATAGTAATAAAATACCGCAAAGAGGGAGGAGAGAGGATAAACAATGAAGATAATATAAAGAGAAAAACACAAATGGTAAATTAGAGTGGCCAGTGGTCATCGTAAGGGTCCATTGTTAACCAATCATGATTTGGACTAAATAAGCCAGTACTGTTATTATATAGACTGTAAGGAGGTGATAAAGGTCTAAACGTGCTCAACAGATCATTGTGTACTATCTGTGTTTGTGGTTGAGGCTTCTTTAAATCAGCTGATTGACCATGGCTGCTTCTTCCCCATGATAATCTTATACGTGAAGTTCCAATCAAGAAGCCATTCATCTTTTCAATAGCCTTCTCGGTTGATGCTCGTGAGACATACTGGACAAATCCACAGCCTTTACCTGGTGGTATCTTTACACTCACAATCTCACCAAAGGGTGCAAAATAACGTCTCAACTCATCCTCAGTTACAGGTGAAGACAGTCCTCCGACAAATACAGTTGTATTATTAGGATCACTGGGCTGTTGAAGAAGGGCTGGTGCTTGTAGTGCCAATTGAATATATCTTTGATGATTATTTGTTTTGGGTGTTGCGAATGATACCCTCATAGGACGCTGATTGCATAATACGCCATTCATTTCTATTACCGCCTGTTGTTGTTCTTGCTGATTAGAAAATCGGACAAAACCATAGCCTCTCGAGAAACCAGTAGAGGGATTAGTCATGATTTTTACAGAATGACATGAGGGATATCTTGCATGAAATATGCTCTACACAACTTATGAATATTGATAGAGGGTATATGTAAGGTCTAACTTACAAATAGATAATGCTCGTTCACGTCATTGTCCAAATCACCTACAAATATGCTGAATTCAGGTGCCCTGTCCTCTCTATTATATAAAAATAAATAATCTATATAAATACATAGTATACACTTCTTTACTTTCTATCAGCAATTCCTCCACCAGATGCCCAGTTTAGTCTAAAGGTAGATTGTGTATTTGGTATTCTCGATCCATGCACAGTTGCCAATGCTCTTTGAGCTGCCTGATTCGAAGTGAATCCAATGAATGCATAGCCACAACTCATACTAAAAGGGATTCCCACAGGTTAGCATTTTTTTTTTTATAGTTGCGCAGCATGTATATAATTACCCAGTCTTTTTATTTCTTATCAATTTGACAACAACATTTTCGCCCATGGAAAACCACAGTTGCTTCAAAAAGACTTCATCCATCCACGGGTCCAAGTCTCCCATCCTACATACCTTTTTTGTTATTCACTTTGTTAATTATTTATATAATTCATTATTCATCTTGATATAAAGATACTTACCAAAGTGTGGTCTTTTCATTCATATCGCTTATATCATTCATAAACGTAGGACTCGTCGGATAAAAGGACATTATAGAAAAAAAAAGAGGGGAAAAGAAAACAAATAAAGAGAGAGAGAAAAAGAAAGGTGAAAAATGATAAATGCCCTTTTTATTTAATCTCAGGTGATTGAACAAAAAGAAATCACAGGATTTCGACTCTGCTGTAGAAACTGCTAAACTGATCACACACTCACGGCGCGCGCGCACATGTATAATGTGTTAAAGTCGGACTTGTGTAGATAAATTGTACTTGTAATGCAGACTTTATATAACAAGCAATAATAATAAAAGCAGAGAAAGTTGAAATATAACGAGAGAGTTAGACGAAGGATGAGTAAATTTTTTGATATGGTACTTTTTTTTTTCCAAAGATGAAAGGTATAATAGTCACAAGACATTTCCTAATGAAAACTTATGTGCGTGATACAGTCTACCAACAAACTGCTTCAAACAAGGTAATCTTGACGCCCCTCCCCTCAATATCTAACCTTGAGCGTCTTTTGGAGTTTGATGTTGATAATCATTTAGTTGATGTAATTAGAATGATAGTGGTCGACAAAAAGGACTACAGCTTGATTTCTCTACATATCAGCATCATTTCCTACGCATGGGCCATATGAAGAGCACTGTTGTTGAATGTGTGTGTAACTGAGCATAAGGCGGATGTTCAAGAAATGCTAAACCTACAAAATCGAGCTTTGAGGTGTATGAACTTGGACTTTTCAACTTACAAGCAAGACCTTACAAGTCCTGTCTTTTTTATTTTCATAAACTCTCTCTCTCTGTTTATACGCTTCCAAGTATAAAGTGGGTCAAGACGAAGCTACTTGTAACTATTTCACATTTACATTTTTTCTAGAAAGAAGCTCTAAGCCTATTAGAAACAATAAAGGTGGCTTCTCACCGATAATCAAGATGTCAACGGCGCTTTTTACTGTATTTTTTTTAATTATTGACATTAATTTTATAAAATATTTTCGTAAAAAGACGACAAAGAAAAATAGGTTTGAATAAAACGACATCATGTCAAAAGAGAGAGAGATAATGAGTATATGTAGAAAAAGAGTGAAAAAGTATGTTAGTATTAGAGCACATATCCTAATATTAGTTTTACTTACCACCAAGGTGCATTCTGGGGAGGGTAGCGATGACTACCCAGGAAAGTTAAAACAAAACAAAAAAAAAAGGAACGGAGGACAGAGAGAACCTAGAGCGTCAGAGGAGACTACTAGAGAATGTTCCAGATACATGCTAGAGAGTAAAGAGGGCGGGGCAAGCGAGTCAGAGTAAGGACCATGAGGACAGGCTAGTTTTGATTGGTAAATCTTTGAACACCCAAAGGGACATTTGATAATTGCTGTAAAGAAGCAAAAAAAAAGGTCTCTTTTCCAAACAAGCTTCAGGATCAGGTACCTGGAACAAAGAAATCATATCAAATAGGAAAAATCTACATGGTGATTATTCAAGAATATGTATTGCCAAACATGACTACATGTTCTGGTTTCATGGAAAAACCGAATAAAGAATTTAAACTTTTACAGAGAGACTAAAGAGGGCGATTTCTAATACTAGGTTAGTTTCAACTCCAAGACAGCCCACCTGTTAATATTACTGTCAAATGGAATAGTGAGCCATATTCTTTTTGTATTTGTTAACATTACAACGGTTTCAATACGACATCTCAATTTGGAAATACAGTATCTCCATGGATGTCAAGGCTGATACTACGAAAATATTCTTGGTAACGGCGAATTTACATTTCATACAACATGAATTTTGTTCTCACCATTGGTTGCATTTATATTCGATCACAGACGAATTTACTTTCCGGAAAGAGTGTATAACCCAATTGTTTGATTAACGCAGTACACACTTGTTGGATAATGAAGATGATTCTTTTAGATCACCAGAATTCTTTCTGACATTTGATCAAACGAGCTTTTTCAAACTCTTGCATTGCAATAATGAAGCTGAGATCTCGGCCGTAATAAATAGGGACATCTCTTTCAAAAATAAAAGAAAACAATGAAATTAAACTTTTTTCAGGAACGCTATTACCAAAAATAGCACTGGATAGAGTAAATGGGACACTGAGTGTGCATATTTTACAAGGATATCAAAACGAAGTATTAGCTATGTTTTTTAATAAAAGCTACATCATATACTCTACTGTATTGTTTTATTTAGACCACATGCATTTTTTTTGTCCCTGGATTTTGTAACAACCTCACAACGACAAACAAACATTCGACACCCGATAGACAGAAAAGAAGTTTAAAAAGCATTTCTGGTATAAATATCCTCCATTCTTATTGTTTGGACTGAATGACCCAAATCTGTAAACGATTCTTCAATCCCTTTACATCTATCTTGAGAACTGACAATGACATGGTTAGAGCAGTTAGCTTCAAAAAGAGGTACAATATATCTTGAGAGCATTTGATATATATCTCCCATCGTCACTTCCTATTACATGTATATAGTGTCATCAAAAGAGGGGAACAGAAGTACAAATCTGTGTGAAAATTACCTGAATAGCTTTAAGAAGATCTATCTTTTGCAGCTTGCTTCGTTTTAACGCTTTGATGATAAATGATTGAGCAGCTGCTGCCTCTTTAGTTCCTTCACCATTTGCAATATCAAATATAACACTGCTCTTGGCTCCTTCTAGCGCATAGTCATCAAATTGTACATCTCCATCCAGCAATCTTTTCGTCACTTGTTTCATTTGTTTGAACGCGCTTAGTATATTGGTTGATCGAATGATGTGGAGTGATATCAGGCCAGCCTCTGTTTTGCTTGAAAGCATACACCTATAAGCTAATCCGAGTCCCCTTACAAGGCGAGTGTAGACGCCTTCCATTGCATGTAGCATTTCTATTAGTACCATCAGAGGTGGAATATCTGGTGAGTCAAAATCAGTAGGTCCTAAAGAGTATAAACATTAGGCAGTCAAAGATATTGTTTTTGTGATTTACCTTTAGTTGAATGAACAGAGTATGAGCTTTCTGTGTAAGGGAGTACAACTACAACTGTCTAAAAGTAAAAGGTCAGACACTATATACTACAAGAAAAAAGCCAAAGACTTACACAACGACCAGGTTCTTTTCCATGTTTGCTAAACACATCTCTCGCACAAATGACAGGAGGCAGTGACATCAGTTTACGCCTTGTAACCCAACAACTGAACGCACTTTTAGGTTTATCTAGTTTTAATATGTCACCAATGACATGTACACGGATATTTTCACTTAAGCATACTATATTATCTATTAGTAAAATTGTCATAAACAAACCCACTATGCCATTACGTCTTGATCTAAACTCGCGCATATTTCGAATAATTTGTTCAGGATTGCTCTTTAATTCAGACAAAATACTTGAAAGAAACACATCTTGATAGAGATAGCTACAGGCTGCTTCTGTTGATTTCTTTATATCTGTGTGTATTGCTCGAATAGTCCAATCGGCGACCTACACAAGAATGCTTTAGACCAGGACTTACATTTATATTTTGAATACTTACCAGTTTGCCATTACATTTTGCTTGGGGGATATCATCTAATGTTTTATGAACACCAATGACAAGTCTATTCTTGTACAACTTTGATGTTAGAGAAAATGTATGAGCACTCTCTTAGTGATATTACCTGTCCTGAACGAATTGAATGTTCCATAGTAAATACTTTAACCATCTTACACCGATATTATATTTCTTATTCTAATACACATCAATATATATATATATATATATATGCAAGCTAATATTCTATTTAAATCTCTCTTACTTCAACTTTGATATTAATAACGATATATTCACGAAACATTGCTTGATAACCGAGTGATGAATCATATGACACCAAGTCCTGATCTAACTGCTGAATTACTTCATCATGCTCTATGTAAATACCGTTATCAGCAAGTATAGGAGAAGCAAATAGGATATCCATATAAATCCTTCCATAAGGACGTAAATGAGAGGGTATATTTGAAGTGTCTAAATAGACAGAGAGTGATACAAATGCGGAAGATATGTCTAGATGGTCAAATCTCTTAGAATTCCATTTTTAGAAAAACAGATAAGACCGGATTACTTACGATCATATTGTATGAAATAAGGAATATCATCCTGTTGTCCGTCCTGGTTGATGTATTCTTGTATATTATTGTAGTATACGCCATCTTTGTGATAAGGGTTTATAGCCGTCAATACATCAATAGAGGATATGCTCGATACACTAGGTATAGGGAAGGTTTCCATAATCCTTGCTGGTATTTGAGCCTCATTCATCCTTATAGCACGCTGCAACTTTTTCTTTAAATTACTCAAGCCATTCTTTCCTAATCTCGCACGTTGCTGATGTATTCTTTCCTTTTCAGTGTCGGTAAGCTCTTGTGACATTGTGACCGAAGGCTTTCCTACGAGCGCAGCAAATGCAGTTTCTAAGTAAACTCTGATCCAATGCTTAGTCATCCCCTCCTCTATCTTTTTTTTTAGTCTACCTATTCAATAAATCCAACCAGTCATCCTTTGAAAACTTTATCAATTCGTCAAGGTATTTAGGTTGTTGAAATGCGTTGACGAAATCCTTAGTGCCTATTTCTCCATAAATGCTTGCTAATAATAGAAACCATAAATACTGATTGTCAATACGTAATATTTATTATAAACAAACCTGTTATTGCAGACAGTGGCAGAGTGAAAGCTGCTCTTGTTTCATATTCATCGAAAATCTTTTTTATAGGTGTTAGCCACACATATATGTTTCATTTGTAGTCCTATATTACCCTGAGCTTTTCTTTTTGTATTAGAGTAATCATTCTTGTAATATCAAAATCAAGCTCTGCCACAATATCCCGTAAGGCTGCCATGAGCTTTGGTATGACTGTATCTATTTTATCCAACTGTACATTTCTAAGCGTCAGGGTGGCTGCAACTCTGCTTCTTTCGGCTATTCTAAAATCTACTTCCGAACAGTAAGGGTCTTTGCACTCTACAAATAGCCTTTTGAGTGGCGAGATAGGTGTATCAGTTAAGTATATGTTCATCATGTAAATAGCTTGTATCTCTAAGAATTCCTACGACAGGTGTTAATGCGAGGTGAAGTGTAACCTTTGTTCATCTTACATTCCACCTTGGACCCAACCAAGTTACTGTCACTTCTCCCAAGCTTTCTGGTTCACCAGGAAACAAAACTGTTTCAATTGTATTATGTTTCAAGTTGGGTATCTTTGGTGCTGGATTCCAGGGCCTTAGCTTTGGCACTTTTGGAACACGTCTATCAAGGATGGACTTGTCGATCTGTTCCAAGGTTGATGATAGATGGACTTGATCTAGCTTCCCTGTGATGATAATAACAAGATTTTCGGGACTGTAAAACTGACTGTGATACTCTCGGACTGGACAAATGAAGAATAAGATTAATGGCCCTTTTTTAGGGATGACCCAAACATTAGTTTCAACTTTTACTTGATTCAATCTTGAGTTTTCGTATACAACCGACCAATCCACCCGCTTCGAAGGGATATCCACTCTGTTTGGGATAAATTATACTCTGTAACCTACGCTGCATAATATCATATATGGAATTTTCTCTTGCTTGTAATTCACAATAGACAACCTAAGTATTTGAATCGATATAAATGTTTATTGTTAAAACAGTAGCACAACTTACGCCTATTAACAACAAAAATAAAGTCAGTTGTCATTGTGTGTGATACTAGAAAGCTTTCTTACCTGCATCTTCACCATTTTGGTTGATGTGATGGACCTCTGTGTAAAATCCAGAATCGGTTAAAGTAGGATATAGTACGTGATCTGCATAGACAGGCAGCAGTTGAAGAAAACCATCACTTCCGGCAGTTGTTAAAGCTATTAAAAAAAAAAGTCATTATAAAATCAGCACGTATTAAAGACATACTGTAACAAGTGTGATCAATGTCAGTCCATGCATTAGTTCCTGGCGCATATGCCCTTGGAGCAAGTAAATCAAGTGCTCCCTATATACAAGTGTCCTTTATAAAGGATACGATCTAAAAAGGTAATCAATCATTGTTATACCTTGTAAGGATACTTTTCGCTTCCCAAGAATATTAGGCTATAATACAGTCAATATCGGCCCTTCTTCCTTTGACATAAATTATTTTACTGTTCTAGTATATGTGGACATCCATTGTCATCATTTACTATAACTTTATTTTGAGTGATTTATAAAATACAGCATTAAAAAATATATACCTCTTGTTGCCAAAGTCAAAAAACCGCTCACTAATGGTCCTGCTTACAGGTGTTTAGAGTATAGTATAATGATTAGTTCTTTGTGAGTTACCTTCCATATCTATGTGAATGGCAGTCAATCCGGTATTAGAGCTTTTACAGCATTTGATCTGAATATGTGCGCATGAATCAACTACAAAAGGAGGATAGTGTATGAAACTATCCTTAAAAGTAGGTGTCATGATTAAAAATGATCAAATGAAAGTCAAGAGGAAAGAGAAAATACCCTTCTCTTTTGTAGTAAACGTGAGATACATACAGTTGGTGTTACACGACCCATCATTTAGGTTTGTACAATAAATAAAAGAATCACAGGTTCGGCTTCTTCAAATAAAGCGTTTCTTTGAAAAAGAAACACACACGAAAAGAAAAGTGTTTCAATTTTCATTATGTAAGTTATGATAAATTTACCTGTTATTTAATTATATGGAATCTATCGTTCAAACGCGCAAGATACTTGATTGAAAAACATAGTGTATATCTATTCTCTCACCGAGATTACAATCTATGACAAGCCATTTTATTTAAAGCCTGGTAACGATGGAAATTTTTATACCAAACATATTAATGGGATAATCCATACACTCCATCTCTACCATTCTTCATTCGTTTTCATTTTAATTTGTCCTTTTTTTCTTTCTTTTTTTTTTTTTTTTTTCTTTTGCTTAAGATTACCAAAATAAACTATTAAAATGTTGCACACAGGTTCCTTTAAGGAAATCCGATGCAAAGTTGACTTTAGTGTTGTGTGCTTCCAGTCTCAATCTACCGAAACTTTAAATAATTTTGGACATTTGTGCGAGGTTAAATTGCGAGTAGTCCAATGCACTATCATATCTTGGTTAAGATTAGTGTGCTCATTACTGTCGCCTGTCCTCTGAATGAGATCTGCCGCTGAGAATAAAGCTGCACCGATGCCAGCAGTTTGTCCTGTAAAGATCCTCTTTGAGCAATGTGAAATGGATGTAGAAGCCTAGATGTCGAAAAGGTGCTGATGAACGTTAGATGTGATAAACTGTAATGCATTGCTGTTCCATCAAATTTCTCCGAGGCTCGCTGAGGCGGCCACAAAGACCATTTAATAATGATCTCTGTCCTAATCTCAACGTTTGTGTTAAACAGGCTTCTCGTTAACGTGTGGGCTACTTTTCAGTACTATCGTAAGGTTTTTGTGGGGTGATTTCATTGAGTTTGTCATGAACAATACCCCTCCTAGCGTCGAATAGAGTACCTTCAAGAGACCTGGCTGCGCCTCTGCTATTCACTATATGGTAAACTCTCCATGTGAGGCTGGTAAGCTGACCTCAACGGCCGCTATAGGTGTAGAGTATGACCTTACCACAGGCAGTACAGCAATTGCGTTCTATATTTGGCGAGGCTACGTTGGTCTAGGGTTACTGATCCTATTGGATGAAGAGTCTATTCCGTTGCTTTTCTTTTCCTCCACGATGCTAGAACAGGTTTACGTCCTGTGAGGAATGGATCTAATTCATGTTGAATGGCTTTGATGAACGAAGGCTCTAGCTTTTCTTTATGAACTATTTAAACGAAAGAGTAAACCAACAGCTTGTGTCTTTCCTTTTTCAGACAAATACCACAGCCACACTACAAGATATATTGTGTGCAGCATATCCTGTACTTTTCTTTTGAGTTATTCCTTACTTGACAGTTGGTCGTTCTTGTGTATACTTTATCTCAAAATGCCAGGCTTCGATGAGATACCTAGTGAAATTTTACAGAAGATTTTTGTATATGTTCAGAAGAGTGCCGAATACAAGAAAAGTTGGATAGTGCAATACCAGCTTGTCTGTAAGGGATGGAACCAAGTTGCAAAAACATGGCTGTATAGCACAGTATATTTATGCAACGATAAGGCCATGGAAAGGTTTTTACACTGTATGAAAAACAGTAGCGCAGGGCACCTTACTCGAACCATATATCTTGACATAAGATACGAAAAATATGAAACAGCAGAACCTTACATCAATGAACTTGTTGAAGCCTGTCCAAACGTAGAACGTGTTAAGGGCGTTATCAGGGACTATGATTCTTGGCGTACTATTATCACTGCCGCATCAAAGCACTGGCCTCATATAAAGGAACTTATTAACCCTTTTTTATTTACTGAACACCATAATTACTTTGATTGTTACAACACACTTATTTCGCTTTTTCGCCATTCGCTCACTCACGTCTATCTACCACCAGAGCATCCTTCTACTCCAATAATGAAAGAACTCTGTCAGCGATTACCAGAGTTTAGCAACTTAACACACTTGATTATCGACAAGATGGAAGCCTTTTGGTCACTTATAGACTATGATGAAATAATCCAGCTTTGCCCTAGCTTGTTATCTCTAAACGTAAACACAAAGACATTTTATTCGGATGTGGGGAGCAGAATACCAACCACTCTTGAAATATTGTCTACACAACCACATAGGAATATCAGGAGTTTACGTGTGTATCGAGTCAGTCATCTAGGCATTGTTGAATACATCATGCA